CTTATGACACATATATGAAAACTACAAAGAATAATGGAACACTTCAATGGAAAAATAGTATTCATAAGACATAATTGTATTGTTCGTATTTGTCGTAAAAATAAATTCAATGTTGTATTCATTTAGTCACATAGATTGTATTTAGGTATTATCAAACATAAAGTACAGTCAAAATGATTGAATCAATGCAAATAGTAAATTCATCTTGAGTGTGTCTGAATGTGGGTATTCCATATCATTCACACCCACACCCACTAATTACAAACACATAGGTAATCTTGAAGATTTATTTTTTCAATTCATTTAAGCAAAAATCATATGAGTATATAAAATATTCAGAAACACACGCACATAAAAAGCTTTAGAATTTAACTAAAATTGAGTATAATAATATTAATTATCTTTCAATGATTATAATTGCAAAGCAACACCTAAACTCCAGCTCTTTTTAATCTTAATAATTCTGCCTGTTGATCGACATAAATCTAGAAGTATAATACAAAATAATTTGAAATAGAAATACTTCTGATGTTAACATACTTTATCAAATGCTTCTAACAATTGATCAATTCTATCGCGAAAATTGTCCATTGGATGAAAATATTGTGAACGTACTCGGGAATCTTTTTCTTCTTGAATTTCTGATTCACTCGGTTTTTTCAATCCTAAATATCCATAAAAATGAATGACATTATTATTCTAATCAATATCTTTACCTGTCCATCGAAGAAATTTCTTGATCATAAAAGACATAATAAATGGATTTTCAACTGGAATTTCTTTTGCTTGACGAAAACTATCATTTATAATTGATAGAAACATACTCAAACAAACAAAAACAACTAAGAAAATAAATAAAGCAAAACAAAATGGACCAAGAAAAGCATCAGCTTGAATTAATTCTCTTGCATTAAATTTCATTAATGTCATTTCAAAAAGCATTTGAGCAGTTTTTAATAAGTTTGAACACGAAGAAATTTTTGATGCGAATAATAAATAAAATAAACTTAAATAGGACATGTATATAATAGCAAACATCATGAAAAATAAAACAAGTTCTTTGGCACAAAATTGAAGTGTTCGTGTAAATAATGATATGCGTTGATTAAAACGAAATAAATGAACAAATCTTATCAATCCAAAAAATAAACAAAAACCAAGAAGAAATGTTAAAATATCATTGACATAAATGGCAAGTTGTAAATTTATATAAACATATCCATTGGTTTGTTCAAATAACTCACCGATACGATTAGCTTCTTGAAAACGCCAAAAATAAACTCCAATAC